TGTGTACAGTGTGTGAACTGTATCTGCTATGAAAACATCCGTTATCAGAGAGTTCATGAGAAGTGTAACCCACTTTTATCTTCAGCTCTGCTGCCATATGTCTACGGCAACCCACACACTCGTTCACACGCACGTTTCAGGTGTTTTCCCAGCACTAAAAGGCAAAGAAGGAGAACAGAGAGCACAGGAAGGACAGATTTTAATAGAGCGATAAAACACAATACTGTACAAGACAGTCAATATGAAAAAAGAGAGTTTCAACATCTATCTTAAGCTTTTATTCACTGAAGCTGTCAGCATTATTTCACAGAATTCCTTTTTTTTTCACTCAGATATCAGCAGAGTAAAAACAGCTGAGTGGGCTCTGGGTTTCCGCCAAGCAACCATAAATAAATACGTAGTTCTGGAGAAATAAGATACAAAATCTGAGTGTGTATTTCTACAAACAAGATGGGAATGCATGAAAAGAATGATAGAGACAAAAAAATCATTCAGAGCACGGTCACGCTGCATGACTTGAATATTTCTTAACATTACTGCTCAGAATTATACGATTATTTAACCAACAACAATGAAATCTCTGCTTGACATGCACAAGATATTTGAGCTGTTTAGCATCTATTTGATTGTAAAATACAAACTTCTCTCACTGTAACATAGAATTTGCATTAAAATGAGGTATTATCTTTGATATCTGGAAATACAACAACCAAATGTTTCCCTCAGCTCCTGCAAGAAAACCCGTCCTACATGCAGCATGCAATGAAGTCAATCACCAACATTCAAGGTCGCTTTAGTCATTATACTATCGGCTCATTAAAATCTTCACATTGCAACACAAGAGATCATCTGAGGACAACAACATCTCAGCTCTGATAGAAGTCTGTGTCATAATATTGTACAGTGAAACAAAGAAACTTGTTTCTTACTCTGTGCAAAATCCAAAGGGATTTCTAGACAGATGGCTATCCACCTATAGGTCCAATTCTGCTTGCAGATTCTGCCTCTTAAATGAACTTTTTATGTCCCTGTTGCTAAATGCAAATTGTGGATTCCTGTTTGACCTTGGAGATGACATAACAAAGAGTCAGTCTAATAAATAAACACTGACTGACATGTATGTGAGAATGAATACGTATCAGATTCCCCTGACAGAATGTTCAGTCAGTAGGTCAGATTGTGTTAATACATGTTCTGATGATTGTAGGATTATTGTTTTCAGCTATTGTCAATGATTTACCAGATCTGAGATTGGAGGAGTTTATATGCCAAACAAGTGATATCAAACTTCTCAACAAAGAAGGAAATTAACACATCTTTCAATGCATGAAAGGATATTCCAGTAGTTTTAAACCTGGGTCCTTTTTGTTTATTTTTTTTGTGTGTGGGGCGTTTTATGTTTGGGATTGTTCCTGTAGATTTCTTCAGCTGGCAGCCCTGACACAGGCTGGCTGCTACGTTATCTGACAGAGCAAAAAAACTTGTGGTGCAAAGTAGGCTATATGTCCACTAAAATGGCTTGTTTTTAGAACTGACAGGCTCTGGTTGTTTTTTCAAGAGTTTAACAAAATTAGGCATACACAGTGCGAATTCTGGCTATTTTTGAGTCACATGACTGATGTGGAAGTCTGGCCAAATTTTCAGATCAATCACGTGTCCATTGTTGTGCAGTGTGTACACAACGGCCAATCACAGCCGGAGCAGCTGCTTCTGACAGCTTGGATGAATTTCTAGCATGTTAGCAATTTTGTTCATTAGACTGTACACACACACACACACAAACACACACACACACACACAGTGAGAGCCGATTCCCCAACTTCAGTTTTTTTTTTTCCTGATTGCAACTGCGCAAGCTGTTAAGACAGCATTTTGAATCACCATGGCAACAGCAGGCATGTCTGTTGGATGTATTTCTGTCCTCCATCACGCAAGATATCAGTGACAACAAACATCTGCAGCAAATATCTGCGAACCTCCAGCTGACAGGGAATAATGGATCTGATTTAGCTGCTAGTGAATCTTAACCCTCCAGACTCTGAGGGGGGATATCCTCAATAACTTCACAATCAGAATCTACGTTTATCACAAGAGAGGGCTCAAACATGGAAACAATTTCTGGCTGCAAGACAAATTAAACAATGAGTGGAAAGGTGTTAAACAATCTCTTAATATCCTTAAACGTATCTGAAGATTATCTGAGTGTTGGTCACAAACCCTTTTAAAGTTAGTTATCTGAGCCATTCTTTGTATAAAGTCTCGATGAGAGCAGCTTTAAACTGAGTCAGATCATTATGCATTGTCCTCCTGTTTACTGCAGCTCTGAGTCGCTCCGCACCTCAGCAATTACTCTGTTTTTTTCAGCCGGCTGTTGTGTTTTTATAACTACAATAATTAACAGTGCTGCACAATGCATACTGATGAACCATAAACCAGATATACAAGCACATCTTTAAGGTCCTCTCTCTACTCCCACTCAGATGTTCCCGCCAACTCATGGGTGATTATAAACCTCCCCGTTGGAGGTTGGGTGGAGCTTTGCTGGAATTACACCAGGTCACCAAACTCTGTGAACCGATAACACTGATAAAGAAGTGAATCTTCACAATAAAACAGATGCAATAAAACTAAGAAGACGGTCAATACTGAGAGGGGGTTAAACAAGGAAAAACAAATTAAAACACCTGCAGCTTCATGGGTGTGTAGGGCCACATTTCAGGAAGAAAGAGTGTAAAAAAATACACCTCAAAGCAGCCTTTAAGTCCAATATTTACCTCAATCACTGCTGGATAAGATTCATCTGCTTGTCCAAGTGTTGAATTTTTCAGTCTATGCTCAGTAATGTTAAAGAGTCATGCTGTTCACTGTGGATCTCAGCGGAAATGTCTCAAAATATAAATGGATTTGTGACATGTCCGCTCTGGTTTCATGTGAATGCACTGCAGCTACAAGTTCCTTTAAATGAACACAGTATCTAACATTTACAGCATTAAAGCCAGCAGCGTGTCAGGAGGTCGAGTTAACAGTAGTTCTGAGTGTAGTGTGTAATAACAGGCTGCAGAGGCTGAAGGTCCACAGTGAGAGTCTGTGATGATGGGACACAGTCTGGGTTATTCAGCTGCAATGAGATGTGAGGCTGACCTTTTCACAGAAAACTTTTTCAGATGATGTCCTCGTCCGGCGTGTGGGAGTGAATTCATGAGAGTTATTTTGGAGATGTGATGTGCTCCTCCTGTCCTCTTCATCTTTATTAACAGAAATGTGTTAAGTGATCTGAGCTGACTTATGTCAGTCTTTCTCTTCTTGAGGTTCCAGTAAAATAAACATATTTATATGTTAGAAAATAACCAAAGCTGACTGTTTATGTTGTTTATTTCAACTGTGTTTTATTCTTGATGCTTTTCAATAAGTTTAATTACTTCTTGTGTATTTTACTTAATTCTTTTATTTTATCCATCCATTAGCTTGTTATCGCTTGTCCTGTTTTGGCTCACTGTCACTGGGTGAGAGGTGGGGTACACACTAAGGTGTGATGGACTGGTCACCAGTCGTTACAGGTCTTACAGACAGACAAACTTTCACACTCACACTTAAATCTCAAGTAATTCCGAGTCACCACTTAATCTAATGAGCATGTCTTTGGACTGCAATTTATTTTTTTATATATCTTTTTGCTAAATGTCACATTTCCTTTAATGATTTTGATTTTCTTAATGTTCTATTTGAGTTGCCTCATTTCAAACGTCCCTTTTCTTACCTGCAGCATTTTGAATTCAACTTTAAATATATACTTTCACTTTGAGATATCAAACCAGCTTTAAAAGAGTAAGTCCACAGAAGTAACATTCTGAAATGTGTCGTGTCTCAGGAAATGATTGACAGAATTATAGTGGACTGCAAATCCCTGAAATGTTTTGATTTATATTGTAATCAAATATTTCAAGGCTATCCTCTTATCAGACCACACAGGGAGGGACATTTATGCAAGGTGCAGACTGATGAGTCACCCGTTTACACCTGGCTTTTACTAATAACTCATCTTAATACCTATTTTAACTGTGTACCACTGCACGGTAACGTTTGTATTTTTAAAACAGTTTTATTATTTTACAGCTTCTGGTTTAATCTTCTCTTTGATTTGTAAAAGTGTGCTCTTTTGTAATCAGAATCAGAATCAGAAATACTTTATCAATCCCAGAGGGAAATATGATCGTTACAGTTGCTCCAAAATATACAGTGTAGCAATAGAAATATAGTATTAAAAATATTAATAAAATAAAATAGGAATGTAAGTAAGATATCAATAATAAGTACAAGAAATATTTACACGAATAGGCGTATGAGAGAATGTTTCTTTGTCTCTTGTGTGAAATAAACTTGCTTTACCTAAGTTCTGTGGAGCAGCGTGGAGGAGGTGATACCCCTCCACTGAGTGGACTCACAAAGTCACAGGACTAACTCTTCCTGCTGTTACTGGTCCCATTAAGGACCTAAACTGGTAACATTTTCAGCCTTGCCTCAATTATAGACTTTACACTTAATAAAATTTTATACAAATGTGTCTCTTATAAATCTTTGTAAACTGAATCACAAAGGGGATCAAAAGTTTCCCAGAAAATATTACTCTTCATTTACGCTGAGTGGACTTTGCCTGTTTACTGTTTAACGATCAATCTGATATGGAGGAAAATGACTGTCACACTTACAGGTAGCCGGTGAGTCTTCTGATCACTGAGCTGACAATCAAATAAACTTATTAAGATAACTATTGATGACTTTGACTTCTGACCGCTCTATCAGCACTGTGTCGTCTGCGTAAAAGTCTTGCTACAGGTACAGAAAAAAGAAGCGACAACACTGCCACGTAAAAATATGAATTTATTTTATTTACAAATATTAAAGAGTCTTAAATACTGCAGGATAACAAATGTTTTAAATGCTACAGGAATATTTTGAAATTTAAAAGGTTTAAAGTTCAAAGAACGATAAAACCAAATGTCTTTTATACATCTCATAAAAAAATATAAAAAATAAGTTGGCATCACCCAGAGTTAGCAGATAAGTGAGTCTGAGAAAAACACATCATAAAATAAACATTATAGACATAACAAAAACAAAAACAGCCGGTTTATAATAATGTGTCCAACACTTGTGTGCATGTTCTCCAGCAGGACGGTAAAAGAGAGTTGAACATGGAGTGCTTAAATCATGGACAGACCACACCCTGAGCAGGCATGAAGAATTACAGACGCTTACATTATTGCATTGAGTTGGGCGTGTTTTCACTGAATTATCTTAAAACTGAGATGCTTTGATAATCTTCGGATCGTCGTCTCTCGTCAGGGTTGGATTGTCGTACATCTCCAGACTTTTCTTGCTGATGCTCGTCATCGTCTCCTCCTCTAGTTTGTTGCAGCACTTGGAGCAACTGCAGCAGCAGCAGCAGTGTCGCCCGCAGAATCCGAAGGTGGCGGTCACCACGGCGTCCCAGGGCTCCATGGAGTGCAGGGGACGGGGCAGGAAGTCCCAGGTGCGGAGGCACTTGGGCAGGTAGCGCACGCAGCGAGACTGCATGACATTGACGATGATCACAAAGATCACCAGTAAGACGATGGGAACGCCGACGCCCACCAGGACCTGCCAGCCGGCCACCGACAGGCCGAACACGGACAGAGGCAAGACCAGGAAGCAGAGGACGAGGTAGAGGGCGGCGAACCAGCGGTACTGAGCTGTGTGGTTCCCCAGACCTCTGGCCAGCCGGATGGGCAACCGCATGAAGGGAATGGGATACCACAAAGCGATCCCAAAGATGTTGAAGAAGAAGTGACAAAGTGCGATCTAGGGAAGAATACACATAACAGTCACACAATACTGAAATAACAACTACATCCATGCTAGCAGCAAAAATGATGAATAGCCATCCCTTCTTGATAAATCCCAAAGTAACATCTTTTTATATCTTGTTTTTTTTATTCACAAATTGATAGATATGGAGTCTAATATGATGTTTAAAAAGATAAAAGCAGGAAAACTAAATTTTAACATGGAACATGTTTGCATCAAAAATGTATATTACCATCAGCATCAATTTCTGGTAATCTGTTATTTCACTGTAACACCGGTGTAGCACTAGCTGGGCCAACACCATTGGCCCAGCGGTTAGCTCGTGCCCCTTGTTCGGAGACCCACCCACTCTCTCTCTCTCTGATTTCATACTCTATCTTCTGTCCTATCTAAATAAAGTCAAAAGCCCCAAATTGGATAATAGGCTATCCTAGGCATCTTTTAGTTTTGTTTCTTTAAGAGTTAATGGTGATTTGGTTATTTGATTAAAAAAAAAAAAATGTCTCGAGTTGTGCTCAATTGTTGTGTTGAGAATTTGGATAACAAACTATAAAGGGCTGAGGTTATTGTTTAGAGAACATGAATATTTACTGATGCATTTCATGGCACTTCATTAAATAGCACTTGAAATGTTCCACGATAAACCAATTTGTCAATCTAATAGTGTTGCTGTAGAGTAGAAGAATTGGGATTTACCGTCAGGATTAAACCTCCTTAGATTCATAATATTCAAATATGCAATCTATTTATAAAAGAAGCTCGTCAGCATATTAGTAAACAATGTTCTGTAGGATACTATAAATAAAATATACAGTCCAACTCTTTCTCACCGACTGTCATCAAGCGTGAAGGTTTTTGTCACGGCTCCCCTATGTAGTCCTGTACAGACACCTAAGGTAGCAACTGTTTATTTTTCTGTTTCAAGGTCAAATTAAGCGTCTGTTATCTTTATTTTAACATGTGATGAACATAAAATAGTGTTTGGTTAGCTTTAAGCAGAAAAAATGTCATAGTTTAGCTGAGGAAAAAGCTGTTGCAGCACACTCAATGTTGATTTATCTTTTCACACAGGACTCAAAAGATTAGTCTCCTTGGTGAAAGTCCTGCTTTGTTTGACCAGTCTGTCACTCCAGACTGCGGGCTCAAACAGACTAAATAGTATTTCCACAAGCTGGGCAAATAAAACAGCTGATTTGAGAGTCTAATTTGTGTCCAAATTGGCTCACAATTAAGTGTACAAATTATGATTAATAACGTTTTTATAACTGTGTAACTGTACTGTATTTATAACATAACTGTATTTCTCTGATATTCTGCAAAGCATGGTACCTGCAGGGAGTTGGCTAGTGTTTCTCCGGGACTAGCCATAGCAGCGAGTATAGCCGTGGTTGTGGTTCCGATGTTTGAGCCCAGAGTCAGAGGATAGGCTCTCTCCAGGCTAATCACACCGATACCTGATCAGAGAAGTTTAAGATCAAGATTTAAGTCATGGCGGGATCCGAACAAAAAACAATTAAACAAGCGAGGTCATTCATGTAAAAGACTTACCGACAAGAGGAGTTATAGCTGAGGTAAAGACGGAGCTGCTCTGGACTATAAACGTCATCCCTGCTCCCACCATGATGGCGATGTATCCAGTGACCCAAGCGAAGGGGAAGGGGAAGTCTGATGTCAAACAGAAAGGTCAGAGGTGAGCATGAAGCAGGCACATTATGACCCCAGGAAAATTAGGAGTTTTATCAAATCTTATGTGCTGACGTCCAAAGAGGCAGGAGAGATGATTTTCCTTTCTCTTTACCTGTGTTGAGCACCTTCTTGATCACCACAGCCACCTGGCCCTTCAGCATGGAGTTGAGCAGCTTGACGATGAGGATGAGGCAGGAGCAGAGGACAAGCAGAGACAGAGCCAGGAGGATGAGGCCTACAGCCAGGTCAGGCAGGTTCACATTGACAAATATATGTTTACCTGCAAAGAGATGACGGACATGAAGTTTTCACTCTACGCTAAAAATAGCTTCATGTACATGACTCACTTCATAGCAGAGCTTGTTTGATAAATGGAGCTGATAAAAATAAATGGAAAAAACTGAGGGCCTGGCTCACTGAATATGAATCGCATCTGCTTGTAGAACCAAACATTTGCTGCCGCTATCTCAAGGTCTGAAGGTCTCAGTCTTATTCACACACCACATAGGGCTATTCAGGCCCAAAAAGTGGTCCTGCTCCATGCAGTATACTCCTGTTTAGGGTCTGAATGTGGAGAAAATCTGCAACTGTGTGGATCAGTCCTCTCATGCTGACAAAGCACATAAAAAATGATAAGCTAGGATGGGAGAGGAAACTTTTCCAAGTTTATTTTTAAAATATAAGGCCAGCCATAAAAAATTGGGATATGAGTTTCACTTTTTTTAATAAACAGCTTCCTCCCTGAATGGATTAGAGAAGGGCAACTTGAAGAAAAAAAACAACACTTGCATCCTCTTCCTTGCGTAACGGCTCCACACACTTGGATGAAGTGTTGAGTCACTGATGGCTTCGGACTGGTTTAAACCCTGTTTATATATATATAATAGTTATAGCTGGAGTAATATTTTTACAGTCTTTATAAACAGATATTTATTATTGTCCGGGTCACTGGAAAGTTTGTGCATTTTATCCCTAACATAAACTGTGGCGCATTTACCACCATCTCTCAGTTGATTTTTTCAACTTTTACTGTACGTGGCTAATAGTGCCAGTTTTTGTAAATTACACGATTTAGGCATTGAGGCTGATTTGCATAGAAAGGGGTACTTTTCCCCCTAAATGACTGCATAATTTAAAGAAGCGCAAATGGCAGTGGCATAGAAAGACGCTGTTTCTTCTGCAGTGTCGTTAGGGGTTCATTTAACCCTTTGCATGTGTTTAAGGAGTGCAAAAGCCATGCAAACCTTTCTGTGAATCAGGACAGAGTACCTGGTTATTTGGAGGAAAACTGGGGACAGTTTCATCAAATTGAAAGTTTCCAAAATGTTTTAATGAAAAACAAAAGCATTTCCTTTAATAGACTACATTGATGAAGTGGTCCAGTATATGATGCTACAATAACAAAGCATGAATAGACCTATTGAGCAGGCAGAAGGGTCAGAGAGGTTTTAGCTGAGTCACTACAAGGACTCAAAGGTATTCATTGTGCCGACATCAGAGGGTGGGCATGAAGAAGGGCTGATGTGTCTCATGTTCCAGCGAGCTTCAGTGGATCAGGTAATCCTAATTGCTTTGTAATTGTTGTTTTTTTTCCCTTTCCTTCACCGGGGGTATTCACTAATGGAAGCATGCTTACATTTCTCCAGGTATATGGTCGAAGACGAGTTCATCTGGGTCCAGGTCTGGTTTCCTTCCTCCCAGCAGATACCTCCGGTAGAGCAGTTCTCCACTGTTGTGTTCCAGAAAGACTGAGAGACAAAAACAGCTTTCAAAAACACACAATGCAGTGGTAATCTTTTAATGATCACACACCTTTTATGAAATCACAAACCTTAAAAGTATGATCTAACAACAGAATCACTGCGGTCATGAAACAATAAGGACAATATCAGTCATTAAGAGACAAAAGCAGAGTGACCACAGCTTCATCACATGTTTTTACTGCTTCTGTTCTATTTTCAGCATGTGGCAAACTAACACTTAATTCCTGTGAGGCAGCTCTTACCGTGTTTGTGTATTTTTTGCACCATACTTTGATCAGACTCTTGTTTCGCGCTGCCGGGTCACCGGTTGCGATGCCAGTGATCACAGATTTGTCCAGCTGAGGAACACAAAGCACAAGAAAATAAACCTTTACAATGACACTGCATATTATGTGATGTTAATGTTACATACAGTGGCTTATATTAAGCGTTATGAAACTTTTTTTGACTACAAAGTAGACACTTGCTAAGATTGGAGTTTTTGCGGAGTGCCACAGGGATCTTTAATGAGACCCTTATTATTTATTATTTACAGTCATGATTTTTCAATGGTTTATAAAAAAAACAACTTTTTGCTGAACATGATTTTTTAATAATTGAATAACACTTGAGGCACTACAACTGGAAGAGATTTTTCTTGCATGTCAGTTCATCTAAAAGGTTTTTTCTCAGATATCGCATCCTCTTTTTCATCACATTGTAGCTGAAAGCAAATTAATTTAGACAAAGAGAATATAAATGTTATGGTTACATCACTGGGCAGTCAAGGGGGATTATCAGCAATCTACAAAGATTCATAAATATCTGTTTTTAATCAAGTTTTTGTTAATCCAAAGTTTTCTGTAACTGATTTATAAAAACAAATTTCAGTGAGTAAACGCTTCTGAACTTCAAAAACATTATCAACTTTCCTATTAATCTTTTTTTGTTAATGTTAAAAGTTATTATTGCAAGGTCAGCATACTTTTTTTTTCCTGCACAAGTTGAGGTGAAGTCTGATGTATAAGCCAGCAGGTTCTTAACATCTCCTGAACACATCTTTTCTTTTTTTCTCATCATGACTTCCTGCCATTTCTCTGTCTTTAAATAATGTGTTAAAACACATTTTAAAGATTTATTATTTTAATGTTTACACACTCTACCTGGATGATGGAGTCAGTGAGAGGGTCTGTGATGACGTTGAGCAGGTCGGGGGCATCCTCTCCAGTCTGGATGTTGAAGGCTTTGATTAACTGGTGGGTGATTTTGTAGAGAACACCTGTGGCCACTTCCAGGGGCAGAAGAATCAGCACAGACAGCCAGTTAAAGAAGTCATGGACGGTGGCACCAGCAAACGCCCTGGAAGTGAAGAAACACTGTATTTAATATGTACCACTCACTGTTTCTAGAGTTTTTATTCTCATATTATTCTGTTAATCACAAGATGTTTATCATTTTAAGCACAGATTTACCTGCGGAATTCATTTCTGTCTCCTGCCTGCATCATGGCCACGATGGTGTTGGTGACAGATGTTCCAATGTTGGCACCCATGATGATTGGCACTGCAGACTCCACATCCAGCACTGAAGAGTATGAGTATCATTATATTTATGTGCAATACACTTACGCTCATTGCATGTGTCTTATATTTGCTAATTTATGCCATAGACTTTTATGTAAGAAGTAAACAAAGCCACCAGTGTGTAACAGTTTGTGAACTGCTGTTTTGAAGCCTGGTGTTGAATTTTATCGCTGTCACTGTCTTGTTTTTTGAGTCTTGAATGACCAAATTTGGCGAGTAGGCAGTGACAAGGAGAGAGATTGGGACCATAAACTAATCAGTAAAAGGTTTACTGAGATGATAAACCAACTGAGAAAAAGGGCTCATTTTCTCATGTATTTCCTTCATGTATTGGCCTTTCTGCTGGCCTTTAGAAAATTATAGACTGTATAAAACATGGACATAGTCTCAGTGATGTCACCCATTTGTTTCTTAAACAGAGTTTTGAAGTTAATGGATGATGGTCGCCATATTATAATTGCTGACTCAAACTAACTCCTGGTCAATCTGTTAACAGGCAAAGAGGCACAGCTGAGGTACAACATGCTAATGGGTTAGCAATACCTCTAATTAGGCATGTCTTTTAGCATTAATATAGTCACAATGGTTGAGCTATAAAACAAAAATC